AAAAAAGAGGAGATAAACAACTATATATAGTAAATATAACAAAACAAATTAGTTCGGGACAAACAGTGTCCACATCACTAAATAAAAAGCAATATATAACGAAAAAAGTAAAATAAACCTTACTGAGACAACAAACAATATATAACAAAAATATCCCAAGAAGCATGTGACCTGATATAAAGCTCACAGTCACATTATTAAAAACATTTACAGCCTCATGATCCATCCACCTGCCTACAAATAACCAAATTAAGCAAGTAATGGGAGGCACACTGAGTCCCGTGCTGGTAGTGACTCAGGTCACAATGCATTGGGAACACTCATTGACATAAACAAGATCAGACTGCAGGGCATTATAAAAAATACTCTGTCATGCCAGAACCCCTGAATCAAATCCTAATGTTCTGTGTAATAGGAGTGAAGTACTGCTCCTCTTTGCTTATATGCTTTGAATTTGCTCCACCAGCCCCCTTGCATCTGACGCCATTAACAACCCAAGGAGATACTTTTCTGCTTGGATTGTTTTAACTGGCATTGGGTGCAGAGTGGCTGGTGGAGCAAATTCAATGTATATCGTGGCCCCAGCCCTAACAGGGTTATAAAAGTGGCACAGAGACTTTTTCTACTGAAGAAAATTATTTTATTGTATTCTATGAATGTCATTGAATGTTATTTACATGTCAGAAATGCCTGCTTTATTTCCCTCTTATTTTATATTTCTTGCTTCAATAGACATTTTATTATGAAGAAAATTAAAATGGAGTTTGGATTTTAAGTGCGAACCATGCATGATCCATGATTAGATTTGCAATACCATCTCTGATGACACACCGCCGCAATATGTATTGTAGCTTTATATTTATCTTTGAAGATTGTAAAAATAAAATTTCATTCTATTTTTATAAAAAATCTCTTTTGAATTGTTGAATTTTATCATACAAGTAAATTGTGCCGTTAAAGTCCCACCAAAAAAGGAGTTTTCCCCCACTTGTATTCGTTAGGGATGTTGGCACTTTGGTGCCCTTTTATGACACAGAGAATAGCTGCGATTCAACAGATCTCAGCTATTCTCTGGTTATTCACAGTTTATGACACTCAGGAGATCATGTCAGCCCTTCACTGGAGATCTGTGTTCTCCCTCCAGATTCTCCAGCCCAGAGCTGGAGAATCAGAGGGACCGAAAACTAAGCAGAGATAATTTACCTCTGTTTAATAAACTGATCTTTTACTGTAATCTCGCAAGATTATAGTAAAATCAGCTGTTTTCCAGAGTTTGGAGACCGTTCTCCAGCGTTTGGAGACCGTTCTCCCTTCGTTCGGAGAACTGCTTCATAAACTGCATTCACAGGAGAACTGTGTTCTCCGAGAATGCCGTAGAACTGAGCAGCGATCTATTACCGCTGGTTCATAAACTATGGTGTACTATGGTGTACGTTTATGAACCAGCAGTAATAGATCGCTGCTCAGTTCTCCGGTATTCTCAGAACACAGTTCTCCTGTGAATGCCGTTTATGAAGCATATGTAGATCAGTTCTCCAAACGAAGGGAGAACGGTCTACAAACGCTGGAAAACGGCTGATTTTACTATAATCTCGCGAGATTACAGTAAAAGATCAGTTTACTAAAAAGAGGTAAATTATCTCTGCTTGCCCACCGCAGTCCCTCTATAAGTCGCTGATCGCAGCCATTACTAGTATAAAACAAATAAAAATAAAAATTCTAGTATATATACCACTATTTATAGATGCTATAACTTTCATGTAAACCAATTAATATACAAATATTAGGATTTTCTTTATCAAAGACATGTAGCAAAATACATTTTGGCCTAAATTTATGAAGAAATTAGATTTTTCACATTTCTTTATTAGTTATGTTTTATAGCAAAAAATAAGAAAAAATGTTTTGTTTTTTTTTTAAATTGTCAGACTTTTTTTGTTTATAGAGCAGGGGTGATCAAATACCACCGAAAGAAAGCTCTATTTGTGGGGGGGAATGACATAAATTTAATTTATGCACAGCATTGCATGACCGCGCAATTGTTAGTTAAAGTAATGCAGCGCCATATCGCAAAATCAGAAAGGGTGTTAAATCATCTGGAGGGCAAGTGGTTAAACTTTTTTTTGTACATTTCTTCAGTTGTTGCTTCCTGGTTTCTAGCCTAGGTCAAAATGTTGTAACCCATCCCAGGAGCCTTCAGGAGGGGAGGAAGAGCTTTCTCTAAACATACCCTCCTGCCTTCATTAAACACACCCGCCAGCCTGCATGTCTAAGCTAAGAGCAGATGGATTCCAGAAAGTAAATGCTACAGGAATCAATTGCCCTTACTCAAGATGGCTTGAAATGCTAGGGGGTGTTTTTCAAAGTGATGGAGACATGGATGGATGGGGGAGTTTGCTTTGAATATACTATAATGAATAAAACAGCGCTTTCAGTTTGTAATGCTCAGACACAGTTAAGGCGATCCTAACGGCTTAATTTTTTTTGTCTAAAAATAACAATCATGTCTATACTTACCTGCTGTGTGTAGTGGTTTTGCACAGAGCAGCCCAAATCCTCTTCTTCTTGGGTCCCCTGCAGGCTCTCCTGGCCCCTCCCTCCTGTAGGGTGCCCCCACAGCAATCAGCTTGCTATGGGGGCACCTGCTGCTCTATGTGTCCATTCACACACAGAGCTGTGGCTCAGCCCCACCCCGCCCCCTCTCTTTTCTCATTGGCTGATTGACAGCATGGGGGCACCCGCTGCTCTGTGTGTATATTCACACACAGAGCTGTGGCTCAGCCCCGCCCTCTCTCTTTTCTCATTGTCATGATTGACAGCAGTGGCAGCTGATGGCTCCCACTGCTATCTCAACCGATGAGGAGAGGGAGTCCTGGGATAGCCCAGACTCCAGTGCACATCGCTGGATTGAGAGGGGGCTTAGGTGAGTATTAGGGGGGGCTGGAGGGAAAGCTGCACACAGAAGGCTTTTTACTTTCATGCATAGAATACATGAAATTAGAAAACCTTGAGCCTTTACAACCACTTTAAGTCCCACTTTACACATAAAATACTAATAAAACCATAAATTGCAAAGATGAGTGCCTTTACAAGTTCACTTTGTTCTCATACATATGTATGATTAAGTACAATAACATCTAAACATCTCATGTTGTTTTCGATGTTTGTAGGTTATTGGTATTATGATACATATGTATGAGAACAAAAAGAAACATCTTGGCAATTTGTGATTTGAACAATATTTTATGTGAACAAAAATAAAAGTTTGTACTTTTTATGTAGTTTATATTGTTCAGGTTATGTTAGTAACTTGGTACCTTTAAAGTCCCATTCTTTATATGATATGGTCATGATCAGGGGTGGACTGACAACTCATGGGGCCCCTGTGCAATAGGGGACCATGGGGCCCCTGCGTCCTTGCCCAAACTCAAAAAAGCCTATGAAAAATGTACCAGGGGCATCTCATGGGGCCCCTTACAGACCCTGGGCCTCGGGCAGTGCCCAAGTTTCCATATGGTCAGTCCGCCCCTGGTCATGATAGTTTACAGCTGAGGTTGTGGTAGATTATAAATCAGTCCAGTTATAACATCTTACAGTTCATTTACTGGATTGATCAAGTGACCGGGCAAAAAAGAATACTAATTATATTTAACACTGTAATGGCATAAACAGAAGTGGAGTGCAATAAAAACAACTATTTCAAACACTCTAAATAAAAAAAAGTCCATAGAAAATAGTTCAATGACATGAGCAGAAATACTAATCATTGGGTGATGTCAGAAGTGTGGCTCCTCCTCCCATATGCGTTAGATCCTGGACAGGACTTCAACAGCGGGAACAGAGCCACATTGTCACCCTGCACATATATACAACACCGCTGCTGCCATGAAGACCATAACGCCGCCAATGCTATAATAGCTATGAAGCGGCACCACTGGACTTCCACATTGCAGAAGTTTCAAAAAGAAATATAAAACAGGACAATGATATTCAAAAATCATTTGAATCCCGATAGTAAATTATAAATATATTAAATAATAAATATAGAAAACATCCCCGACTTACAAATGGACCGGAAGTAGTTATGGCTAGGTTCGCACCTATGCAGGTTGCGTTTGAGCCATTTCTGTATTGCATTTTGGATTGCGCTTTTGATGCTGTTTTTTTTTTTTTTTATTTCTTGTTGCTAGGCAGATTTAAAACGCATCAAAACGCAGCAAAAACGCAATACATGCTTTTCTGCAGCATTTCCATTGAAGTCTATAGAAACAAAAACTGCAACTTTTTGCATTAAAAAAAGTCCCTGACCCTTTCCAAAAAACACACAGGGGGAAAACGCACAGGTGTGAACATGTCCTATAGGAGATCATGTTAAATGGACTGTACTGCATTTCTGCAAAACATTGCAGAAAACGCTTAGGTATGAACCTGGGGTAAAGGAGTTCCCAGAGTAAAAACATATACCTACTCAGCAATGGGGACACTAAATTATATGTTATCTCACAACCCTAAAGGATACATTTCATAAACAAATTAGCATATAAATTCAAAAAGACCCGTGGCTATCTTTTCGAATGTTAAAAATCATAAATATAAAAATGACAAAAATTTGTAAACATATTATCGATCAGAAATAAAACAATTCAAGTCAAAGTCAACATTCAACCTGTAGGTGTGAGAACTTTGGTCTCATAAATCCAAAAGGATTCTCTGTGACTGAGCTGTCAAATGAAATTAACCCCCCCCCCCCCAATGTCGATTGAGTTTTTCAATATCCCAGAATATGAAACCTCTGGGGTCCCCATTGTGACAAATCCTAAGGTGTTTAGATACATTGTGGGTTTTAACCACTTTTTAATGTTATTAATAGAGATGAGCGAAGTATTCAAAAATTCGATTCGACTGATTCGGCGAATTCGTAGAAAAATTTCGATTCGAGTCGAATATATTCGCTGTGACATTTAACTTAAAAAAGGGTGTTTCTAGGCTTCAGAGAGACTTAATATTAGTGCTGAACACTGTACCTTTAATTTAAATGCCCTTGGAGTCTGCTGGGGAAGAGAAATAATACTGTCAGGCAGTATGACATGCAGATGAGTGCCGTCGATCTTAGAATCACCGCACACTTCACTCATTTGGGCAGTCACGGGGCCAAAACCAGAGTGTGGAGCCACAGTGTGGCGGTGGAGGCAGCAGCAATGGGAGGCCATACAGCACCCTATGACAAAAATGGAAACCACCAGCAGTGTGAGGAGACCTGAAAGTGGCACATGGCAGAGTGTGGCGATAGAGACAGCAGCAATGGGAGGCCGTACAGGGACCCATGACACACTCTGGACCTGGCAGCAGCATGAGGAAGCGGTATATAGGGGCCTATGGCAGATTAGGGGCCTGGCAGCAGCTATAGGAGGCCCATAATCTGCCAGCACCCTATGTCAAAAAATTCTACACACCAGCGAGGAGACCTGAAAGTGGCACATGGCAGAGTGTGGCGATGGAGACAGCAGCAATGGGAGGCCGTACAGGGACCCATGAGAGACTCTGGACCTGGCAGCAGCATGAGGAAGCGGTATATAGGGGCCTATGGCAGATTAGGGGCCTGGCAGCAGCTATAGGAGGCCCATAATCTGCCAGCACCCTATGTCAAAAAATTCTACACACCAGCAGTGTGTGAGGAGACCTGAAAGTGGCACATGGCAGAGTGTGGCGATGGAGACAGCAGCAATGGGAGGCCGTACAGGGACCCATGAGAGACTCTGGACCTGGCAGCAGCATGAGGAAGCGGTATATAGGGGCCTATGGCAGATTAGGGGCCTGGCAGCAGCTATAGGAGGCCCATAATCTGCCAGCACCCTATGTCAAAAAATTCAACACACCAGCAGTGTGTGAGGAGACCTGAAAGTGGCACATGGCAGAGTGTGGCGATGGAGACAGCAGCAATGGGAGGCCGTACAGGGACCCATGACAGACTCTGGACCTGGCAGCAGCATGAGGAGGCGGTATATAGGGGCCTATGGCAGATTAGGGGCCTGGCAGCAGCTATGGGAGGCCCATAATCTGCCAGCACCCTATGTCAAAAAATTCTACACACCAGCAGTGTGTGAGGAGACCTGAAAGTGGCACATGGCAGAGTGTGGCGATGGAGACAGCAGCAATGGGAGGCCGTACAGGGACCCATGAGAGACTCTGGACCTGGCAGCAGCATGAGGAGGCGGTATATAGGGGCCTATGGCAGATTAGGGGCCTGGCAGCAGCTATGGGAGGCCCGTAATCTGCCAGCACCCTATGTCAAAAAATTCTACACACCAGCAGTGTGTGAGGAGACCTGAAAGTGGCACATGGCAGAGTGTGGCGATGGAGACAGCAGCAATGGGAGGCCGTACAGGGACCCATGAGAGACTCTGGACCTGGCAGCAGCAGCATGAGGAGGCGGTATATAGGGGCCTATGGCAGATTAGGGGCCTGGCAGCAGCTATAGGAGGCCCATAATCTGCCAGCACCCTATGTCAAAAAATTCAACACACCAGCAGTGTGAGGAGACCTGAAAGTGGCACATGGCAGAGTGTGGCGATGGAGACAGCAGCAATGGGAGGCCGTACAGGGACCCATGACAGACTCTGGACCTGGCAGCAGCATGAGGAGGCGGTATATAGGGGCCTATGGCAGATTAGGGGCCTGGCAGCAGCTATGGGAGGCCCATAATCTGCCAGCACCCTATGTCAAAAAAAATTCTACACACACAGCAGTGTGTGAGGAGACCTGAAAGTGGCACATGGCAGAGTGTGGCGATGGAGACAGCAGCAATGGGAGGCCGTACAGGGACCCATGAGAGACTCTGGACCTGGCAGCAGCATGAGGAGGCGGTATATAGGGGCCTATGGCAGATTAGGGGCCTGGCAGCAGCTATGGGAGGCCCGTAATCTGCCAGCACCCTATGTCAAAAAATTCTACACACCAGCAGTGTGTGAGGAGACCTGAAAGTGGCACATGGCAGAGTGTGGCGATGGAGACAGCAGCAATGGGAGGCCGTACAGGGACCCATGAGAGACTCTGGACCTGGCAGCAGCATGAGGAGGCGGTATATAGGGGCCTATGGCAGATTAGGGGCCTGGCAGCAGCTATGGGAGGCCCATAATCTGCCAGCACCCTATGTCAAAAAATTCTACACACCAGCAGTGTGTGAGGAGACCTGAAAGTGGCACATGGCAGAGTGTGGCGATGGAGACAGCAGCAATGGGAGGCCGTACAGGGACCCATGAGAGACTCTGGACCTGGCAGCAGCATGAGGAAGCGGTATATAGGGGCCTATGGCAGATTAGGGGCCTGGCAGCAGCTATAGGAGGCCCATAATCTGCCAGCACCCTATGTCAAAAAATTCTACACACCAGCAGTGTGTGAGGAGACCTGAAAGTGGCACATGGCAGAGTGTGGCGATGGAGACAGCAGCAATGGGAGGCCGTACAGGGACCCATGAGAGACTCTGGACCTGGCAGCAGCATGAGGAGGCGGTATATAGGGGCCTATGGCAGATTAGGGGCCTGGCAGCAGCTATGGGAGGCCCATAATCTGCCAGCACCCTATGTCAAAAAATTCTACACACACAGCAGTGTGTGAGGAGACCTGAAAGTGGCACATGGCAGAGTGTGGCGATGGAGACAGCAGCAATGGGAGGCCGTACAGGGACCCATGAGAGACTCTGGACCTGGCAGCAGCATGAGGAGGCGGTATATAGGGGCCTATGGCAGATTAGGGGCCTGGCAGCAGCAGCTATGGGAGGCCCGTAATCTGCCAGCACCCTATGTCAAAAAATTCTACACACCAGCAGTGTGTGAGGAGACCTCAAAGTGGCACATGTTTGAGGCATGATTCATGGCGGATTTAGTCAGTTGTGTCAGGAACTGGTGGTTTGAAATCCAGACTATCCACGCCTGATTCATTTTCACAAACGTGAGTCTCTCCACACTTTGGGTGGACAGTCGTGTCCTCCGCGGAGTTACAATACCTCCTGCCGCACTAAACACGCGCTCCGATGCCACGCTACTGGCCGGGCATGACAGCCTTTCAAGGGCAAATTCAGCTAGTTGGGGCCAAAGGTCAAGTTTCGTTGCCCAGTAGTCAAGGGGATTGTCTACCTCGGTTGGCAGGGTGCTGTCCAAGTAGGCCCAAGCCTGTTGTTTGAGGTCCTGCTCCAGGTCCACCTGATGCTGCTGCTGCTGCTGCTGCGCTGGTTAGTAGTTTCCTCACTGCGCTGGTGAAGAAAGCTACTCATCATCGACTGCAGACTGAGGCAGCCGCTGCTGGTGGAGCTGCCACTGCTCCTACCTCCCCACCCCACCCCTCCCCTGCTGCCATGGCAGCGGAACGCGAGCGCACAGGGCCCACAGTGTCTGAGGATGGACGTTGGCGCACAAAGGCAGAGACCAACTGACTACATAGGTGGTTTTTATAGTACGTTATTTTGGCCTCCCTCTCAGCAGGTGTGAAAAAGGCCACCATTTTGGAACGGTAGCGAGGGTCCAACAAGGTGGACAGCCAAAAGTCATCCCTCTGTCTGATGGTTATTATTCGGCTGTCGCTACGCAAGCAACCGAGCATGCTATGGGCCATTTGTGCCAAGGAATGCGAGGGACTCCCTGCCTCCATCTCCACAGCATACTGCCACGGTGCGTCTGGGTCCTCTGTCTCCTCCTCCTCCTCCTCTACCAGATGCTCCTGCTCCTCCACTCCTGTCCGCTGAGTGGAAAAACCACCCATTTCACTCAATAATTCCTGAGCACAAATGTCCTCCTCTACCTCCTCCTCTTCTTCCTGTCCTGCCCCCACAGGGGTCATGTGGCGTTGAGATCTGTGCGCCACGTCTACCGCACCCTGACCAGCCATTGTTAACAGCATTTGTTCAAGGACGTGCAACAACAGAGGAATGACGTCGTTCATCCCATAGTCCTGCCGACTCACGAATAGCGTGGCCTCCTCAAAGGGCCTGAGCAAGCGGCAGGTGTCACGCATGAGCTGCCAATGGCTGACATCGAAGTTACACAGGGGAGTACCTTTATCCGCTTGTAACATCAGGAAATCGGTGATGGCCTTTCGCTGTTCGTAAAGGCGGTCTAACATGTGTAGGGTTGAATTCCACCTTGTTGCAACGTCGCAGATCAGGCGATGCTGTGGAATTCCGTTCTGCCGCTGCAGCTCAAGGAGGGTGTGCTTTGCGGTGTAGGAATGGCTGAAATGCATGCAAAGTTTACGTGACATTTTAAGGATGTCTTGCAGTGGGATGGTGGATTTTAAGAACCGCTTGACAACCAGATTGAACACGTGAGCCATGCATGGCGCATGGCACAACCTTCCTTGACGCAGAGCAGACACCATGTTCTTTCCGTTGTCGGTCAACATGGTTCCGATTTTCAGTTTGCGCGGAGACAGCCATCTGTCGATTTCTCTGTTCATTACACTCAGAAGTTCCTCCCCTGTGTGACTACGTTCGCCAAGGCATACCAGGTGCAGAACAGCGTGACACCGTTGCGCCCTGCACATGTGATATGCCGGTCGGGTAATGGGACTTGGCACGGGGGTGGCGGCTGAGGACACGGCGGAAGAAGAGGTGGTAGAGGCGGACATCTTTGCGGACCAAGGACGTGCAAACGTGGAGGCAAAAGCGGCGTGACCTGTCCAAGTTGCTGGTGCGGCTGTGACGGCACCACGTTCACCCAGTGGGCCGTAAATGACATGTACTGTCCCTGACCATAGTTACAGCTCCACACGTCGGCGCTGCCGTGCACTTTGGCAGAGACCGACATGCTCAAAGAGACTGGCCCACCATGTCTTCTACATGTGAATGCAGGGCTGGCACTGCCTTTTTGGCGAAGAAATGACGGCTTGGCACTCTCCACCGCGGCGCGGCACAAGCCATCATTTCTCTGAAAGGTGCTGAGTCCACCACTTGGAAAGGGAGGGACTGCAGCACCAGCAACTTGGACAGGAGGACGTTCAGCTTTTGCACCGTCGGGTGCGTGCTCGCAAACTGTTGTCTCTTGGAAACGGATTCCAAGAAAGACTGCTGACGGAATCCGTGAAGAGGAGTAGCAGGAGAAGGAGCATCTGAACGAGCGGAAGATGCCAACGAGCGACAACTCCCCTCAGCAGAGGTGTTGGAGCCTTGACTGGCTGATGGAGGGCGATTGACGTCGGGTGACGGAGCAAGTAACGGAGCGGGTGATGGAGCGGGGGCTGGGGCGGGCAGAACCGCCGTATCTTTATCACGGTTTTCCCAGGCCACCAAATGGCGACGCTGCATATGCTGCCGCAACGCTGTAGTCCCAACATGGGCCCCCTGGCCACGCTTGACTTTCTGGCCACATAGTCGACATACGGCTACGTTTACTTCCTCGGGCGGCTTGCTTGACGAAAAATTGCCACACCCGCCGAGTAGGAAACTTTGCCCCCGATACTCCTCACTGGCTGACTGCTGCTTCCTCCGTGCACACCGGCACCACTACTGGCCGTGGTGGTAGGCTGCAGTGGAGCTGGTGCTCTACTCCGTGGCCGTTTGGCTCCACTGACACTGCTGCGACCCTGCTGCTGTCTCCTGGGCAACCCACCGACTGTTTTGCTCGCTGCCAAGCTGCCACCCTCTTCTCCTGATGATGCGGAAGAAATTGCCTGATGACGACGAGGCTGCCAGTGCGATCAACCTCCTCATCATCAAGTAGGGTCTCCGCCTCACTACTAGCCCCCCTCGGCTGCGTCTGGGTCAGGAGACAGACCTGTCTCTAGACCGGCTACCGAGCCACTCTCCTCGCCAGTACTACTTCTCTTCGCCTGGCTGCTGAAAAGGCGGATGTCTCCCCCCGTTCCTGACCGCCCTCTGTTAGCTCTTCCTCACTGTACAGTGGGGCTGAGCCCACAGCATGCGATACTTCGCTTGGTGAGGGAACACCAAAGGACAGGGGCAGGTAGAGGACACGTGATTTCAGTGGGCTTGGTCCCGGGCCATGCCAACTAACGGTTGTGTCTGACGTACCCACCGACCGTTGGCTGTAGGTGTCAGAGGTGACCTGGGAAGAGGAAGACGACCGAGCCAACCAATCGAACGACGGCAGGGTTGTCGGTGGAGACACGACCGCTGGATGACACCGGGAGCACTGGCCTCTGGCTGCGAATAGTGCTGCCTCGACCCCTTCCTCTGCTGCCAACGTCTGCTCGCTCCTAAAACATTGCCTCCTCTGCCACT